TTTAAGAAGATTTTAGGATTGCTTAACATATCTATATTTTCTTTTCTAGCATTTTTATGATAATTGTTAGAATGCTTAGTAAGTTTAGCTAGCATTTTCTTAAGCAGGTTTTCTTTCTTTGTGTAAAGTACACTGTTTATTGATGTAGGAAGCAATATGCGTTAATATTTTATGAGGACTAAGTGTATGTTGCATGATTAATAAAATAGTAACATTGGGTTTTTCTGACTTTTAAAGAAACTTGAAACATGTTATTGACCCCTTTCACTATTCACATTTTGAGAGTATTGCACTAAACATTACTCTGTAAAGCAATTTAAGCAAATATAATTAAGAATTTCAGCTTGAATGATTAAAGACAGTATGTCTCTTCTTTCCTCAGTATGCTAAGAGTATTGAACAGAAGTGTGACTGAAAATTGAGCATGTCTTAAAAACAAACCCCAAGGCTAAGTGAAAGTTGGTTTATAGACATTTGGGAATTTGATTTGTTCACATCTTCCCATCAGTTAAAAAAGATCTGTGCCAGTATTTCTGTAAAGTAAAATAATAATGGAAAAAAAGCCCCACAACTAATTTCAGAGTTCATAGAAGAAAAAATCCATAATGTTTTGTAAAGCGCCGGCTACTCTAATAAATTGTTTATTTTACTTTTAAGATAAGTCAGAGAGTCATTTGACAACCAGACATGCACCCAAACTGTAAGAAAATAAAAAAATAAAATTAAAGAAGAAATGTATTAGAATGCCAGTAACTTCAGATCTTACTGCTCATATTGTTGTTGGGCTTTTTGTTCCTTTGCAGATCACATTACTCGATCAGTTCATTAATTTTATAAGTACCTTAAATAACATTGTTAATATGTTTTATGATGTTAATGCCCAAATATAATGCAAATCACGTATTAGGGAGTGCTGATGCTTTAAAAACTGTTGTATAATCTTATAGATAAAACTTCTGCATTTATTGGATGGAGTGGTGATGATTTCATGTGGGCATGAACCCAAAGTAAAGCAAAGCTGATGTTTTAGTTGTGTGAGACTTTTTTCTTTGATTTTAAAAGAACATAACCAGTATGGCTATGAACAGACTCTCTTACTGATATGACAAATTACCAGACTAGCAATGTGCCCAGAATGAAAACTGTGCACTGGAAGGGTCTTGCAGTAGTTGTATCGAGACTGAAAAGTATTGGTAGATACATTACACAAAATCGGTGCTATTTATGTTTCTCTTAAATTTATCATTATTGCAGCACAGAAACTATCCTCTTCAGGTATTGCAAAGCAGAGTGTATGTATTGCATAATTGCACAGAAATTCCTGTGTCATAGGAGGAATTTACTGTCTAACCATTCATTAACCATTTCTCTCTTGCTATACATTTAGCAAAAAAAGAGACATTTTAAGGAACCTTATAGAGCTATTAAAAAAACCCCAAAACACTTTAGAAGTTGTTTTCACTTCAGAAAAAAAAAATATTTTCAATGTTAAAATATTAAAATGGTATAATGGCTAATGGAATAGCATAATCAGTGTTTTAATTCCTGTTTCATAGTTTCTAATGCATTTCACGATGTTTCCCCTGGTCTTGGAATATAATTCTTACTTATCAGAATAAAACTATTTCCCATGATTATAGCAGTGTGAAGGCAGCATGGAAAATTGTTAAGTTTGTTTATGAGATTAATGTTGGGAAGTTTATATCCTTTCTTGGAAACCAAAAAATGTTTTTCAGTGGCATTATCAGTTTTCTACAAAGCATCCCTTAAAGTGAGGAAGTGTTTTGTTCTTACAGTTCTAGGCTTCTTTGTACCAAAACTACCATCTTGTTTAATGACATTGCTATGTGGGTTGAAATTAGACTGACAGATTGTGAGCAAAGGCTGTGATATTGCAAACAATAGTCTATTGAGCATAAGGAACTTGTTGAATTGGTTACCGAAGGCATTAGTGTTGGGTCCAGCCTATTTAGCATCTGGAAGACAGAGAAGAAATAGTGTGCTAATGTAATGTTCAAATGATACTAAACTGCAAACGGCTGCAGGTGACTATGGCAGCTGACACGTACCACGAAGGAGCCTAGTAAGAGGCAGTTCTGAAAGGCAAAAAGTAATAAAGTGAGATACAATTCACAAAAGGAAAAAGTACTGCATTAAGAGGGAGGTGAGTATTCAAACCAGGTATTCAGATAAAGAGAGAAAACAGTGTTGGGAGTCCCAGGGAATCGTGCATACAATGCTTAAATTGTTAAAGTTTCTGCTGGATTTAGATAGGTGTCTAAGTTTTCCACAGCAGACTGGCTTGGAGTGCTTCCAGCATACCAGCTCTTCACCATCAGTGATTTCACTGACATTGGTGCAATGCTTCAGTGCTAGTTTAGGATCCTATGGACTAAAGTAGTTCTGAGTGAGGCATCTATCCCCCATACAGTCCAAATCAGTTTGATGTTGAAAAAGAAGCTGAAACATGCAATAGGTCAGGAATCAAGGTCTAATTTTTCTTTGTTTTTAGTTATTTGCTTAATAATCTTTTAGTTTCCTATGCCTTGCAGTACAACTTTTCAATGATCTTTGATCTTAAAATATAAATTTAATTGCTTCTGTGTCCTTCTTTAGAAGTAATTCAAACAGAATTTGTACCTCTGGTCTGGGCTGCAGATAACGTAATCCATATCTGGAATTGCTGGGATCATTACTGGGATCACTCAGGCAGATGTGGTGGGTTGACCTTGGCTGGCTGCTGGGTGCCCACCCACCGCCCTCTCACTCATCTTCCTCAACAGGACAGGGGGAGAAATAAAATGAAAAAGTTCATGGGTCAAGATAAAGACAGAAAGATCACTCACCGATTGCCATCACAGGCAGAACAGTCTCAACCAGGGGAAAAATAATTTGTTGCCAGTTAAAATAGGTTTGGATAGCAAGAAAGAAAGAGAAATTAAAACAACACCTTTCCCCGACCTTTCCCTGTTTCCCAGGTTCAACTTCACTCCCCCCCCCCCCCCCC